CCGTCGACGCTCAACCAACAGCCATGGTCCATATTCTTCATTATTCCCCTGCACAGATTTGCATGTTGTAGTTCCTTAGGCAGCTTTGTTAGATGAAACAGAGGGAATGTTAGAATCCCCCATAATTGCTTCCAATGGAGAGGTTGTGGCTTCATTGATACTAGGACTCCTTAATTTCTCATTGGGGCATTGATTGTTGCGATGACCAATCCTTCCACAATGAAAGCATAGGGCACTGACTCCTTCATACACCACTCTCTGTTTTTTCTTTCCAATTCGAACATATTTCACAACAGGCTGTGATAAATCAATCTGGACACATAACCTTGCATACCTTCCTCTAGTATGATGCTCTGTGTGTGCGTCAACTCTGAGAAGGGGGCCAATTTTGTTCCCAATCTTTTGTAAAGTAATGGGATCATAGTGATCTGCAAAAAGTTGAGGCAGTTGTGCCCAAACAGCAGTGGTTGTGGTTGATCGGAGCGCTTCCTCAGGGTCAAAATCAGGCTCCCACCTTCTCATGGTTAGGAAGTAGGGGCCGATGAACCAAGGGCCTCCTTGAATCACCTTGTTAAGATCTTCATTGTCCTGAAAACGCATAAGGAAAAAATTCAAGACCCAAATCAATGAAGTCCCATTTTCCTACCGGCTTCCATTGTGCTTTCACTCTAGGGAACACATAATTATATCCCAACAATCTATGATGAAAAGCTTTTATAATGATGGCGTTCATCCATGGTTCACGGATGCGTTGCTTCTCTGCTTTTGAAAGCAATACAATGGGGGTGTCATCTTCAGGATCCTCATCGACATCTGAATCTTCTTCCATGTACTTGGGTATTGTAGCAAAGGAGATCACTGATGAATTATCCACAACAATCAGCTTATCCCGGTAAGAAGCTCCGGGTAGAACATCTTCTTCCATCATTGATTCCTGAGGATTTTGCTCGGCAGCTTGCTGTGCCCCTGATCTTTCTTCCTCGACAGAATGTTTATTTTGCATAAGTAGTTCGGGACCATCATTCTCTGAGGAATGAGTGTCCTTTATTTTCTTGATACTTCGATCGAGTAGGTCGGATTCCTCAATGGAGGCTGAAACGACGGGTGAGAGTTTCTCAAAAAACGAGAGCTTTTTTCGAACGGACATGGTTTTTTCTCCGACCATTTCTGTCTAGTATCAGGTTATCTAGTTTGAAACCTTAATTAAACGCAATTGAAGTTTGAGTCTAAAATGGCAAATTTTGTGTAAGTTTAAGTCCTTATATCATATTTTTGCGCAAAAAAGAGAAGTAGAACGTAACTTGGATGCATTCAAATAGGAGAAAGATTATAAGCACATGGAGCAGCTCCCCATGGCATTGAGTATACAGTTTCTTCACC